CATAACAAGAGGCTCTACTATGCATGTACTTCTCATAATTCAGTCTGTTATAATTAGATGTATGTATTCATAGAATATTTATTATTATTTAATGAGCCAAATGGCTGCCAAAGGTTATCTAAGTACATGACAGGGTGAGGTGTGCTTTTACGTGCCAGAGTAGAGAAAGTCCCTCCAGTCAGCCAGTGGGGGTGTTTCCTGTCCCCTGACTATTTTGGAGTGCTGATGGGGGCATTTGGGGGTGGGGTTGGTAAATAGCTTGGTGGGATTAGGTGGCCCATTGGATGTTCAGCCAGAGGGGTCTCCTCTCATTGCTCTTGACTAAATTCCTGCCTAACAGGAGGGGTGTAGATAAAATATAGATGAAATATGTGAAGTCTTTTCAGAACTCAAATGAGTCTTTTTCAGTCATCCTGAGACTTACAAAGGACACACATTTTTGGTCTTGGTGGCAGAATGTACCTGGATTAAGGTGTTGAGAAGGCAGAGGGAAGGGGCAACCCACATCCCAAAAGATGAGATCTCTGATGATTGGCTAACAAAACCCCACCCAACTCCAAGGCAAAACAAGGGAGAGTCATATAGAGATTGACCTACCAAGTGCCCAGAATTTTATATGCAGACTTGATCATCAGCAGTCAAGTCTGGATTATCCACAGACAGATTCTTATGGGAAGCAATCCCCTGATTTCCTTCATAGAGCCTTCTATAGTTGTGTCAGCATTGCTGTTGATACTTTTTCTGGCATGTAGCCCACATCCCAGGAGGAGATAGAAGGGAATAACCTGAAATGTAAAAATATATCTTGGTCTCCTTAACATCAAGGGATGAATCAATGAGCTCTGAGAACAGGAAGGTACTATCTTGAGCATTCTTTCCAACTGAGGAATAAGGGGACTAGGCAGAGAGGAATGGATGGGGATGGGATGTGGTGGAGGATACAGCCAGGGTCCTCTGTGTCCTCACAGGAAGTGGTACCACTCCACGCCCAAGGAAGAGAGAGATGGAGCCAAACAGAGGAGCAAGGGAGGTGGGAAGGAGGTTCAAGAGAGAGGGAACATATGTATACCTATGGCTGGTTCATGTTAATGTTTGGCAGAAACCAACACAATTCCTTAAAGCAATTATTCTTCAATTAAAAAAAAAATTTTTTAATAATGAAAAAATAAATACTTGATTATCAATCCATGAGCATGTGTGTGTGTGTTAGTCACTTAGTCATGTTCAGCTCTTTGCAACCCCATGGACTCTAGCCTGCTAGGCTCCTCCAGGCAAGAATATTGGAGTGGGTTGCCATTTCCTTCTCCAGGGGATCTTCCAGACCCAGGGATCAAACCCAGGTCTGCTGCATTGCAGGCAGATTCTTTACCATCTCAGCTACAGAGAAGTCCCTTCAAATAATAAAAAATATATATATAAATACTTGATCATTGATCCATGACCCCAAATCCCAGTTTAGGGTCCAGCACACAAGTCAGCATCATTCAACAATCTCTGTGGGTTCCTCTGTGGGCAAGAAAACATGCCTTAGAAGACAGGAATTGGAACGAATGACACAGCACCAACGGGCTGCATGCTCGAAGAATGGAGAGTCGAATACAAGCAGGCCCAAGGCCAGGGGTTGAAGAGCACTTGAAAAGTCAACATCGATCTTCACAAACAAATGATGTGTATGCTGAGGGGAAAGAAAGAGGATAATCATCAGGCAAAGTTCCCTAGAGGTGTTGTCAGTCTGGATTAAAAATGGTCAGGGCTGGGCTGAGATCCAGGCAAGTATGGGATTGACTGCTTCTGTCTCAGGTCCCGGCACCAGGTCACCTGTCTGGCCATTCCTCTGGGACAGTGAATGACGCAACAGGGAGGTAACCCTTTCCAAGGTGCCATCCCCTCAGAGCTAGGCTACGCTTGGTTATTCTCTCCTTTAAGAAGCTGCATGGGGTGGCGGAGGGAGGGGGCTTCCCTGGTGGACCAGTAAAGAATCCCCCTTGCAGTCCAGGGGATACCGGTTCAATCCCTGGTCCAGGAAGATTCTACATGCCAAGGGGCAACTGGGCCCATGCATCACAACTATGGAGGCCATGTGCAGCAACTACTGAAGCCCTCACGCCCACACGCCGCAGTGAGAGAGTAGCCCCTGCTCCCAGCAATGAGAGGAAGCCCACACACAGCAACAAGGACCCAGCACAGCCAAAAGAGAAATAAAATAAATGGATTTCTTTTTAAAAAAGGAAGCTGCAGGGGGACTTCCCTGGTGGTCTAATGGTTGAGAATCCACCTTTGAATGCAGGGGATGCGGGTTCCATTCCTGGTAGGGGAACTAAGATTCCCACATGCCTCAGGGCAACTAAACCTGCCTGCCACAACTAGAAAGAAGTCTGAGTGCCAAAACTAAGACCCGATGCAGCCAAAAATAAATTTAAAAAAAAAATTTTTTTTTAAGAAACGAAGAAGCTTCATGGATTTTCCCCATGGTCTCCTGTAAACCACCCGCCCAGGATGAACAAGGCCCTGTGGATATAAGTTAGCATCCAGAGGGAAGCAGTAAAGGCAAGAAGCCCCCATCTGAATATGAGACCTGAAACCAGGGGACGGTGTCCCCAGGAAGCCTGGGCCCAATCTAGGTTTCCCTTAGAGCCCATTTAGAAACCCCTTGACCTCTTAGATGGAGGCATTTTGGAAAACCGGGACCAGGCTCTATAGCCTGGCTCTCTCCTCCTCTTCCTGATTCCGAATGCCAGGCTTTCTTGGAGCTCACCTGGGCCCTCTTCCCTCCTTTCTCTCATCAGTTCCCATGGCTTAGGAACCACTCTAACCAGCCTATGCAGTGCTGTCCAAATAGGAGTCTCCAGCCCTGACAGGCTTCCCTCTAAATCTGCAAGTGCAGTCGGGAGACCTCCAATCAGCTGTCCCATAAGCAACTCAAACATCTAGAGTAGAGCTCCTGAAGTCCCTGCTCAAACCCATCCCACCTCCACACACACCCCTCTACCTCTGTACATGGCCTCACCCCAGCCACCCAGTTGCTCCAGCTGGTAAACTGGGCACCACGATGAATCTTCCCTCTCCTTTATCACCTCATCCACTCCATTCAGAAGTCCTCTCATTCTCCAGTGCAGCCCCCAAGTTTCTTCTCTTCATATTCTTATCATAACTTAAAGCTATTTGTTTACATGGTGCTTGTTTGGGGGCTCCCTTACAAAACTGAGAAATGATATTTCGCTCACCAATGTAAGTCCAACATTTAGCCTAGGGCCAGAAAGCAAACACTTAATGAATATGAGCTGAAGGAAGGAAGGAAAGCATCCATTAATGATGACTTCATCCAGAGTGAAGCATTTGTCCCATAGCTGGCCTGGCGTCAAGTCTGGGCAGGGCAGGCATTGAGTCTCCCCACCTGTCTTTCCCGCTCCATTTCCACAGAGGGATACCAACAAGAAAAAGTTCCATCCTTCCCCAGAATGGAGCAGCAACGACCAAATCCCCCTCCTTCAGAGAGCCTCCTGGGAGATCAGAGAATTGCCATTGACTGCATTGCTCTGCCAAGCCTGGATGTGGAATTTCTATATGAATCTCTTTGCACCCCAGTAGCCAGTTTTAGTTGTTTCTTGAACTGTCATTTCCATTCTCTGAAATAAATTCAGCTTTGGCCTAAGATGGAAATACTACTTTCCTGGCCTGGCCTGGCTAAACGTCCCACTCCATCATCTGCATCTTCCCTGGGTACCCAGGCAGCCAGCCTTGCCTGGAGGGCAGCAGCCGCAGCCTCAGAGATAAGTGTGGGGAAGGGGAGGAGCTCCAGATTCAGGATCCTCCTGTGCACTCGCTCCCAGCTCAGCCCCTTGGATGCTCTCGGACCCTAAGCAGGCCACTCCTCCTCCCTGAATCCCTTCCAGCCATGACCTTCCGGACAGCCCTCCCAAGGCCAATGACCACATTAGCAGGGCTTCCTGGTGTAGGGCAGCCGCCGGGAACTTCATGGCTGCCCCACACACCCCGGGGACCCAGAGTGCATGCCTGCGTGCTCAGGAACAGGACCTTTTCTGAGGGATGTTAATCATTGTTTACCAGGAAGGGAGTGTGGAAAATTCTGGTTTACAGATAACTAACAGGTAATTGGAGAAGGCAATGGCAACCAATTCCAATACTCTTGCCTGGAAAATCCCATGGACAGAGGAGCCTGGTAGGCTGCAGTCCATGGGGTCGCTAAGAGTCGGACACTACTGATTGACTTCACTTTCACTTTTCACTTTCATGCATTGGAGAAGGAAATGGCAACCCACTCTAATGTTCTTGCCTGGAGAATCCCAGGGACTGGGGAGCCTGGTGGGCTGCCATCTATGGGGTCACACAGAGTCGGACACGACTGGAGAGACTTAGCAGCAGCAGCAATAACAGGTAATTCTTTCCTACAAGACTTCTCAGAACCTCCAACATGTGCTCCAAAGAGGAAAGATTCAGTGAACATGGAATCCTTTTTGTGTGTGTTGTGGGGGGTGGGGGTGGCGGCGGGTTGTGGGTCAGACTTTGAAACAGGTGGCCCTTGGGAAGTAGCCCTGGGTTTTTCCAGCTCACACCTTCCCAGGTGCACCTTGATAGGGGGAAAGCTTTCAGGGGGTCAGCTGGGATGGGGACCAGCACCAAGGAAAGAAATCTGTCCCCAAGCACCTCGAGGCCCTCTTAAGGTTCCCCCAAACTAGAGAAGGAATGTCTGCACTGTTGGGACTCCACCAAGAACTCACCTGAGTGTGGCCCCATCCTCCCCCTCCCCACTCCCCACTCCCACCTCTCCCAGCTGGTCAGTTGTCCCAGCGCTCAGAGCATAAAGGAACAACCAGATCTCGCCCATTCAGATCCCACGTGATGGACGATGGAGAGTAACTGTCTGGGTTTCAGAGGAGTAGTACTCAGCCATCCTGTAGAAGGGACGGCCCACGTGGGACAGGATGGAAGAAGTCAGTTCAGTGGGGAGAAAGGCGTCCAGAGAGACTCAGAGGCCAGACTTAAACACAATGCACTTTATTGGCGACAGAACGGATGGGCAGAGGGACCTGTGTGTTATATACATCAGAACTGTGGTGACCATTCCACCCCGGGAGGAGGCCCCAAGGGCAGCGAAGATGGTGGCTGGGGCCACACCTAGACAATCACAGACTCAGGCGGGAGCCAGAGAGAGAGTCTGAAAGTCTCCGGGCCGTTCTTACTCGGGGATCTGGATGTTTGAAGGACAAGAGGCCCGGTCTTTTAGCCCCAAAAAGCGGCTGCCGGCGGGGACTGGAGAGGGGAGAGGTAGCGGGGTGGGAGGGCGCTGAGGAGGCTGCAGACATGAGAACTGAGGAGCGGATAGGAACGATGGGCGGCGCTGGGGCGGCTGCGGTGCCCTGCGCGGTATTTTATCTGGAGGTGCGCTGGGAGGACTGGGAGAACCTGACGCTGCCGCCCCGGCTGCTGCCTGAGCTGAAGCCTCCACCGCTGACCCCAGAGCGACCCCCGGAGCCAGAGCCGAATCCGCTGCTGCTGCCGCCGCCGTATCCGCTGCTGCCGCTGAATCCGCTACCTCCGCCAAAGCCGCTGCCGCCGCCGAAGCCACTGCCGCCGCCAAAGCCACTCCCGCTGCCGCCGCCGAAGCCGCTACCGCCGGCCCGGCCGAAGCCGCTGCCTGCGCCGCCTCCCACGCCAACGCCAAGCCGCCGAAGCCACTGCCGCCGCCAAAGCCACTGCCGCTGCCGCCGCCGAAGCCGCTACCGCCGGCCCGGCCGAAGCCGCTGCCTGCGCCGCCTCCCACGCCAACGCCACCGCCGTATCCGCCTCCGAAACCACCCGCCGAGGCGGAGGTGGTGCTGCTGCTGCTGACCACGGCTGCAGGGGAGACCACAGAAACAGCGATCAGCTCCCGGCCACCACCTCCCTATATCATAACGATCCCCTGGGCCCAGGATGATTGAGAGGCGATCAAGGCAGCTTTGAACCTGATGATCACTGTCTTGCGTTCTGATGTGGTGAGGTGTTCACCCCTACAGTGTTAAGTCAGTTTGAATTTTCCAATGGTTCTTTCTACATATTGTCACCTCTGAAGACCCGCCCATGGAGATGATCCAGAATTTCTCCTCCCCTTAACAAGCTCCCTATTAGATATTCCCCCACCCTCCATACAGTACTATTAATAGTGCTCTGAGCCAAGAACCTTTACCAAAGCATATCTGCTGCCCCTTCTGCCCCCCAAAAACTGGGTCCAACCGCCATGGAAATATTGTTTAAATTAGGAACTATCGCCTTGAATTAGTACAGATATTTCAGAACCAGTTCTCACTCTCCTGGTTTCTTTGGCTACTTACAGATGCTAACAGCACTCTGGCACTCTCCAGACATCCTGTATGAGAAAACAAGAGAAGGCTAGCTCAGTTGCAAAGCAAATTTCCAACAAGTCCGTGAATGAAAGTGACAGCAACCAGAACAGAATTCAGCAGCCTGGCTCATCAGTAGTCTTTCTCCACTGTTCATGGGCCAACACAGAACCCCTATGCACACTGGTTACCTATGCACTTGGCCATCTATGGAGGGCGTCAACTGGCAAAGGAAGTGGTTGCCTATAAGCCCTGTGCAAGGTGGGGCCCTCTCTCTATAACAGGCCTCCTCCCCATTCCCTTGGTCATTTATCTGGCCCTCAGCACGTGACTTGGGACAAGAGAAGCAGAGAGATGGCAATAAGAGACCCACCTGCACTCCTCGCCCTCCAGCAGCTTGCGGTAGGTGGCGATCTCCACGTCCAGGGCCAGCTTGACATTCATCAGCTCCTGGTAGTCACGCAGCAGCCGGGCCAGGTCATCCTTGGCCTGCTGAAGGGCGGCCTGTAGCTCTTGGAGCTTGGCGTTAGCATCCTTGAGGGCCAGTTCCCCACGCTGCTCAGCTTCAGCAATGGCCGTCTGCAGTTTAGCATTCTGGAGCAGGGGGAGGGAGAAGGAACGATGAGCCCAGTAGGAGGGTCCCAGGTTCTCTGAGTCTTAGACTAGATACCCCAGAGCAAGTCAGTCAACCTCACCCCTTCCTTAGCACCTCTGTCTGTCTTCCTGCACAAAAGACAGATGGATGGCTGTGGCTTACCAGCAATCTAAACTGGCTTTGTCTTTGAACTCTTTGAAGGCCAGTGCTGCCTGAGATGACCCCAGAAGTCCCTTCCCCCAGACTAGGAGTCCTGAGATCCTAGCCCCAACCCCTCACCCATCAGCCTAGACACCAGCATCCGTGGCCGTCCCACCTGCTTCTTGACATTCTCTATCTCAGCCCGAAGCCTCTGGATCATCCGGTTGAGCTCCGAGATCTCACTCTTGGTGCTCTTCAGGTCATCCCCATGCCTGCCAGCCGTGGTCTGCAGTTCACCCAACTAGAGAATAGAAGGGACAGTCAGGTGTTGATGCAGCCTTGCCTGGTGTGTTTCTCCATCCCTAATGTCACCCAGCCAAACTTGAGGTACTTAGTAAGCACTGTGTTTAAATGACATTGAATTATGCTTCTGCAGGGACATCTCTGAGGCAGCAGGGAAGAGAACATCTGGTGTGTTGTAGAAGGTTCTCCCACCCCGCAATCCCTGAGCAAGCTAGAGTGGGTCCCATGTGGTCTGGCAGGGGACAGTCGAACCACTTCCCCCTAGGGGGCAGCACTTTCTGCAACTGAACAACCTTGACAGGATGTCTCCAAAGAGGAGAATCAAGAGGGGCCACCCAATGGCCACCACCCAGCCATCCCGTGGACCACAGCCTCCCTGGGACCTTCAGTGAATCCTCTGAGAAGTGCCTAGCTCTCACCTTGGTCTGGTACAGGGCCTCGGCCTCGGCCTTGCTCCTCTGGGCGATCTCCTCATACTGGGCCTTGACCTCGGCGATGATACTGTCCAGGTCCAGGCTGCGGTTGTTGTCCATGGACAGGACCACCGATGTGTCACTGACATGGCTCTGCATCTGGGACAGCTCCTGCCAACGCAGAGGGGCCTATTCACTGGTGCGGCCTCTGCAGCCGGCACACAGAAACCTCAAGAGACTCCTGATCAATGCACCCATCTGCTGAGTCAGCTCGGAAGGTGGATCGGCTCCACCCTGCCTGCCAGCCTCTCGGAGACCCCATGCTTGCAGTTCCTCCCGGGGAGCCCCAACAAGAGGCCTTATCTCAAGGTTCAGTCTTCCTGGACCCTACCTATCAATCTGAAAGTATCTCACCCTCCCTCTTGCCCCCTCCTGGTAGGAAACATCCTCACCATATCATAGAGTGTCGTCAAGAAATTGATCTCATCTGTTAAGGAATCCACTTTGGCCTGAAGCTCCACCTTGTTCATATAGGCAGCATCCACATCCTGAGAAAGACAGATAAACACATAAAGGCCTTATTCCTCCAAGGAATGCACAGCAAGCTATAGCCACAGCAAGACCAGTACTTGTCCGAAGCTGGTCTCCACATGAAGGATTCACATCAAGGGGATGGCGGAAGGTCTACTCAAAAGCTAGAAAATGAGTGAACTGACTCCTTGAGGCATCTCTCCAGACTAAGATGCACTTGGATTTTATTTTTGGTTCCAACTTCCTGAACTTGGCAGCTCTATAGCAGTGGAGCAAGGATTCCCCCCAGCCCAGCTGGAAACCAGTGTCTACAAGCCCTAGAAACCTCACACTACAGCCCTTACCTTCTTCAGGGTCACAAATTCATTCTCAGCAGCTGTGCGCTTATTGATCTCATCCTCATATCTGTAAGAGTTAAAAAGAAATCACTGTTTGCAGTATGAGGTAGTCATAAACGCCACTGTTCTCTGAATCTCTCAAACTACCTCTGTTCTGTCCTCTGTCCCCCTCCCGCCCCTCTTAAATAAACACACCCTCTCACTGTCCCCCTGTTAATTAGAAGGACCAATCATTCCCATTCATTCTGGCAGACTGTCTGGTCTTAACATGGAAAGTTCAAAGTCCCGGGAAACCCCTCCATCCCCGGTAGACTGGATGCTTGGTCACCACCCTGTGAGTTGTCCCAGCATCCTTCAGATCCTACAACCAGGATCTTCCCCAGCCTGACTCATGAGAAAGTGCTTCTTCAGCTCTAGCCTTCTAATTTTCTTTGTAAAGGACTATCCTTCAGGAAAGAAGATGAGGAGGAACCAAATGAACCAAACTGTCCTCTATGAAGATACAGGGAAGTAGGCTAAGGGGCAGCCCTCTCAGTGGGCAAGGGGAAAGCAGTGAAAACTGGGATTCTGAGACAAGATCGCCCACAGCATCTTCCCACATGTGCCTGTCACTCACTTCTTCTTAAAGTCTTCCACTAGGTCCTGCATGTTCCTCAGCTCTGAGTCCAGGCGGCCTCTCTCCCCCAGAATGCTGTCCAGGTAGCTCCGCAGGGAGTTGATGTAGTTCTCAAAAAGGGGCTCGAGATTGTTGGTGCCTGTGATGGGATGTGTGCCCTGCTGCTGGAGCAGGCTCCACTTGGTCTCCAGGACCTTGTTCTGTTGCTCCAGGAACCGTACCTGGAGTGCATTGGGAGAAGCAAACTCAGGCAGTGCTTGGAGCAGAGGGGCCTTGCCTTGGGCAGAACTCGGTGTCTGCATCTCCCCATCTCCCAGTACAAAGGCCTAGAAAGCTCCCACTGTGGCTAGAGAGAGTATGGTCAGACTATCACAGCAGTCAGGCCATTGAAGATGCAAGACGACTTCCTTACAGAAGCAGGAGAAATGGGAGGGGAAACTGGAAGTAACCCCTGCCTGGAAGCAAGAGACTTGACCCTTCAGTATTCCTGGGGACTTCATGATTCTAGCCCAATTCCAAAAACACACAGCATACCGCAAGAAGGTGCTTAAACCTCAACAGCATTGTTTTCCATCTAAGACACCATTGACGCCCCACTGATATTCACTTCAAAGGATGTGAATGGCTAGGAACTGACACAGTTGAAATGCTACTATCATCGTTGTGACAGGAGAGAGACAGCCAGTGTGAGCCACCCTGCTCTAGAGGTCCCCAAGCACCCTGCTCTTCCCGATAAGGTTGATTGAGGTGCAGACTGAGTTTCTAGGGTCTCAGCAGCCCCTTGGGACTCAGGGTCCCCCTTGAGCCTCTTGAATTCCTTCTCTAGGGTGCCTGCCTCCTTTGCCTGGCACATCGCCATAGAGAGACAAGGCCTCCTGGAAAGCCCCAGAGGGCAGCCCATGTTTGAATAGCCCCCAGTTCTGGGTCAGACCCTTGCCTGTCAGAGGTCATGACACCACCAGCCCCACCAAAGCCACCAGCTCCTCCAAAACCACCTCCCATTCCTCTGCCACCACCAAAGCCACCTCCATAACCACCTCCGTAGCCACTCCCAAAGCCACTGACACAGCTGCTGCGCCCTCCTCCAAAGCCACCAGCCCGGGAGCCACCAGCCATGCTGATGGAGATGCTCTTATTGCCACCCAGGTTGTAGAGGCTGCGACTGCCAAAGCCGCCTGCTCCACTCCGGAACCCATAGGCCCCTCCGCCGGCTCCCCCAGAGCGGGCCACACAGCTCATCCTGCTACTGCCAGAGACCACGGCAGAGCGGCCTGAGAAGCCCTGGCTCCCGCCGCCAGATGTCTTGCGGACTTGTCTGTTCATGGTGAGCAAAGTCGGTGAAGGGAAAGTGCAAGAGTTCAGCAGGGCCGCTCAGAGCCAGAGGAAGAGAGGCGCAAACTGAAGACCTGAGCGGGATAAATCCCTTTATATACATCTAGGAGGCTGCTGGGCTCAAACGAAGGAGAGATAATTAATCTCAAATAGTCATGGGTTGGGTTTGCCTTCCAGGCAATGTTAGTTCTAGGCTACTAAACACACCTTAAAAATAATCTGAAATGGTGAAAGTGCTAAGGTGGCAGGCTTACCTGGCACTGGGAGGTTCCTGACTTGGCCCTGTGCTTGGGCATGGCCACCTCCTAGCTTTGTCTGGCAGGACCCAGGAAACACAGTAATCTGTCTACTGGCCAGCTGTCCCAGGTCCTGCCAGAGCTGGGCTCAGCTCTGGAAAGGATGGAGTGGAAGGTGGATTGGAGAGGTTCTGGTTGTCTGGGTGGTGGAGACGGTGAAGCCCACTCAAGGGCTCAGGCAAGTATCTCAATGGGAGGGGTGATACAGTCTACTCCACAGACTGCACATGGCCACGGAGCACCCACTGTGTGCCCAGCTCTGTGCCGGGTTTGAGGATGAATTGATGACCTCTCCTCTTCCCTTCCTGGAAACAAAGCTCAGAACCATCACAAAGCTGCCTCCTGGGTTCCCTCTGTCTCCTAAGCTGTAGTTCAGGAAGCTGCAGCATTTGGATTCACGACTCTTCTTGAAAAAGAGGAAGGAATTAACACTATGTGCTTTGATAAGCCATCAGCAAAATTCAACAAGCCAGTTCATTTTGCAAACTTCCCAAGAAATCCATACACTATTCCCTATCTTCAGAACATCCCTAAAGCTTCCTTTCTTGCTCCCCCCATTTTTGGCATCTTCCTGGTTTCAGTCCAAGTCCCAGGTGACTGGAAATTCAAACATCAATTATACCACAAATGTGACACCTATTGACAGATGACCTAATTCGTCTCAGGCACTGGATGAGCCACTGGAGACAGACACAGAAACTGTTCTCTGGTGAAGGGGACAAGTGCTCCTGTGGGTCTGTGGCCTCAGTGTCAAGACACCCACCCCCCATCCCCACCCCCAGCCTCAGAAGTCCAGGCCCGGCAAGGCCAGCAGCACTGTCGTACATGTCTAACTCTGAAAACCTGAGAATCTGCCAGTCTAAAATTTTTCAGAGGCTTAGGGACTGGGCTTGGCTTGTTCAAGAGGAAAGACTTTCTGCGCAGGTGTGGAGCCTGCCAAGTCAGCCATGGATCGCTCCAGCACAAGACTTTTTCCTTCTGTCTGCTGCACAGATGACCCTGCCATGGGTGTGGCCTATGTGGCCTGGGCCTCCTCAGAATGGGGGGAAAGAGAGAAGGATGGTGGATTCTTCATCGCTCACTGGGCTGGGCTGGGGGTGGCCCACGTGCAGAGGAAGTGATCCTCTCTTCAGTGGCCTGATTCTCCCATGCGTCCTCAACCTACTTCATTACCTCCAGGCTCTGCAACATCATGGTCCCTCCCGCGGAATAAAGCCATAAACTTTTCAGGAGCTTACAGTTTTGTCCAAACACTGGACCCTCTGGTTCTTAGCACAGCACTGTGCCAATAATAGATGCTCCTAAAGGTTGGTTGGTTGAGTGAATGATCAGTCACTTAATGGAACAATTGATGAATGAATTAAGCCTGTTTGCTGGATTACAGCCAAATAAAACTAGTCAAAGGTTAACTGAAATCCCATTACATAAGGTCCTGGAGAAGCAACTGGCAACCCACTCCAGTACTCCTGCCTGGAAAATTCCAAGGACAGAGGAGCCTGGCAGGCTACAGTCCATGGGATCACAAAGAGTCAGACCCGACTGTGTGACTTTCACTTTCTTTCTTTACATAAGATAGTCCAAGCTAACAGAGATGATCTCAGCATAAAGAATCCAGACCTCTTGAATTTGGTGTTCAGATTTAAGAAAATACATGTGCAAATGAGTGGCATCTCCTCTCCAGAAAAAAAAAAAAAAAAAAACTATATAATCACAGTATCAAGAATCAGTTGAAGAATCCATCACAGAATCATGTTGAAGTTGACTGGGCCTTTGAGTCACATAATCTGTCTCCCACCCAGTACTGGGACTCCCTTGCAGCAGGTCTGACTTACACCCCTGATCTTCCACAACTGCTACCCACGGATTATTGGCAGGAGAAATTAGCTCAAGGCCCAGAGGGTGCTGTACACACACCCTCCTCAGCTTTGCTCCCTCAGAGGAACCAGAGTTTAAAGAATGAACCAAACTCAGAGCTGGACCAGCCTCTCCCCATGACTAACCATGACCAAGGCTATTTAAATTCTCCATGTTTCAGCATTATTAACCGATAAAGATGGTCAATAGTCTCTACCCTTCTGGTTCTCACAGGATAATAGATGGATGAGTTTTATGAAACGTACAGCAAAAATTAGGTCATATTTTTTTCTCTCTTAGTGTTTTAAGTGTATGCGCTTTAGAGTCAAATATACCCAGCTTTGATTTCACTTTTTTTAATTTAAGTATAGTTGATTTATAATATTGTTAATTTCTGCTATATATATATTCTGTTATAATATTGTTAATTTCTGCTGTATAGCAAAGTGATTCACCTATACATATATATATACATTCTTTTTGAAATTCTTTTTTTGCATTATGATTTATCACAAGATATTGAATATAGTTCCCTGTGATGTACAGTAGGACTTTGCTATTTATCCATTCTCCATTTAATAGTTTACATCTGCTAACCCCAGCCTCCCAATCCATCTCTCCCCTGCCCCCTGCCCCTTGACAACCACAAGTCTGCTCTCCATGAAATAGCTTTGTCTCTGTGTGTCTGTGCAGAAATTCATTAACCTCTCTATGCCTTGGTTTCCTCATCTGTAAAATTAAGTTGTTAAAAGTACCTCTCTCATAGTCATTGTCATGTCCAGAAAGTACCTAGCACAGTATACATGTTCAGTGTTCACTGTTATTTTTAGCTATTTTTGTTTACAAATCACATGGAGAATTTCAGCTTTCATACCTGTCGAAAGAACAAGCCAATGAAGTAATGATTCCCTTTGCTAATGAACCACTGAGATTCCCCAGGGAATGTGAGAACAGCATGGGGCCAGATAGCTAGAACCACATCAACTCCATGATGAGATGAGAGGAAGCAGGCCTCAGCTTCTGGCCTGACAAAGAGAAATCCATGAGCAAATAAGAGATGTGTTTACCAAGCATGGATGCTCTGGATCACTATGTGGTAAAAAGAATGGTTTCCAAAGAACTCACAGTGCAGAAAAGCCAAACATTATAAGTCCCAAGTTAGAGGTGCTTTGAGAGCGTGGAGAATTAGAAATGCAGTGAAAAAGGAGAATTGCATGGTAAGGCTTCAGGAAGAAACATGAGCTGAAATTTTCACAAAGGACAGAATTTGCTAGACAGAAGAAAAGACGTTCCAACCCAATTGGTCATGAGCCAAGGTTCAGCATGAAAGCAAGCATGGTTAGGTTCAGGACCTGGTGACCTGGGTAGACTTTTGTCATCTGTGGCTACACAACATCTTTGAATGTCTTCCCTTCATTTTGGTCATGTCCACAGTGAGATCCCCACCTTCTTAGGGTAAAATCCAGGAAACACATTCCCAGACTCCTTTGCAGCTAGGAGCCAGGCCCGTGGCCTGGAACTTTTCAATGAGAGACACTCTTATGAAACCTAGATTCTGATGGAGACCTCTGAGTCCTAATGGACAGAGGTGGGGGCTTCCCCAGTGGCTCTGAGGTGAAGAGTCTGCCTACAGTGCAGGAGATGCAAGAGACACAGATTCAATCCCTGGGTCGGGAAAATCCCTTGGAAGAGGGCATGGCAACCCAATCCTGTATACTTATCTGGAGAATCCCATACAGTCCCACATACACACAGAGGGGCCTGGCAGGCTACACTCCATGGGGTTGCAAAGAGTTGGACATAACTGAAGTGACTGAGCACACATGCACGCACGGACAGAGGTGAAGTTTTGTAACTTCCCCCGAGCATCGGAGGTACAGCAGCAATGGTCATAATGTTTGCTCCAGAGCAGCCTCCAGGGGTGGCTGGACATGGTTCCAGGCTGCAGAACCCCCAGAGAGGCCATGAACAACAATGTGCTTTAATAAGTTATTTTCTGTTTACATCCCAGGCAGAATGGATGCTCATATATGCAAGTATGAATGCTGATCAATACAAGGTTGAGACAGGCCTGGCTAGAGCAGAAAGGGATTGTAAGACGTAGGGAATGTGGTTGAGACAGGATGGAGGGCCTGCCTTTTGTGCCAAAGAGAATGAGGCTGCTGCATGTCCAGGTGTGGGGCCTGAAGTGAAGCAAGGCACCTTTCTGCCCCACATTGGAGCAAATAGAGCCCACTGATCCTAAGTCACATTTGTCATTCCTTCAAGGGGATTGCCTTGGAGAGGGATCTTTGAGAAGGAAAGTCACAACCACCATTGTCATCAGATCTGGAAACTCTCCAACAAGTGGTGGGAGAAATGGGAAAAAGAATTTAGTCTATTTTCTTTTTTTAATTGCAGTATAGTTGATTTACAAGGTTGTGTTAATTTAAGTGTGTTTAGTCTATTATTCTGCACCCGGGATTGCAGAGAAGACATTGTCCACTAGGGGACGGGGAGCAAAATAGGGATCGGGAGTCCATTAGTAGGACGAGGGTGTCGATTCTGATTGGAGAGTCACAAGGGATGCAAATGATAGAAGGGGAGGAAGCAATCCTTGAGCTGAAATTCCTGATGGTTGGGCCCAGCCCTCCAGGCTTGAGGGACCCAGTAAACATTTTGAGAAATCAGAGTTGGCTTACACTCATTTCAGCACCCGGATTATGAAGTTTAAGTAAGTAGCCTAAGTACCTTCTCCCTAGAGAAAAGAGTGAGTCACTGTGTTGCAATGTATAAAATCAAAGCCTCATAGGGCTCTGTAGCCAAGAGGCTAGCTAGTCTGTGCTTCTACCTCAGGACAGT